GAGATAACACAAAACAACAACAACAATAAGACAGAGAGAATGAGAAAGGAAGAAAGAGAGAGAGAGAGAGAGAGAGAGGAGAGAGAGGAGAGAGAAAGAGAGAGAGAGAGAGAGAGAGAGAGAGAGAGAGAGAGAGAGAGGAGAAGAGAGAGAGAGAGAGAGAGAGTGAGGAGAGAGAGAGAGAGAGAGAAAGAGAGAGAGATAGAGAGAGAGAGAGAGAGAGAGAGAGAGAGGAGGGACAGGAGACAGGGAGACAGACGACAGACAGACAGACAGACAGACAGACAGACAGACAGACAGACAGACAGACAGACAGACAGACAGACAGACAGACAGACAGACAGACAGACAGACAGACAGACAGACAGACAGACAGACAGACAGACAGACAGACAGACAGACAGACAGACAGACAGACAGACAGACAGACAGACAGACAGACAGACAGACAGACAGACAGACAGACAGACAGACAGACAGACAGACAGACAGACAGACAGACAGACAGACAGACAGACAGACAGACAGACAGACAGACAGACAGACAGACAGACAGACAGACAGACAGACAGACAGACAGACAGACAGACAGACAGACAGACAGACAGACAGACAGACAGACGGACGGACGGACGGACAGACAGACAGACAGACAGACAGACAGACAGACAGACAGAGGGGGGAATAACAGCCAACCAAACACAGAATAGTACGAGAAATCGCAAGAAGACGAAAGGGGAAGAGGAGGGGTCTGACATATAAGCGCCCTTTGCCACGCTCGGCACACGAAAGCAATGGGGTGTCAATGTAGGAAACTTGACGATCGAGCCTTCAGGGCATGGGAAGTCTGAGGGGGCCGCATCTCGCCCGCGCGAACGCAGCGGCGCCCCGGCGGCAGACGGATCATCGAAACTGCGTGACTTTGGTCGTCCAGAAAACTAAAAATGACCTGGTTTTGCACGAGGTCCACAAATGCGCCCACGGAGGTTCTAGGAGACCGACAGGCATCAGAGGCGGCGCGCCCCCTTCCATCGCGCCCAGCTCCAGGACCTCCATGCGCTTCTGGATCCCAGTGGGCATCGGCACGCCGTTCACCACTTTAACCGCGCCCGCGATGCCCCGGCGGAATGGCGAGGCGGTCGGGGGCGGAACGGTATCCAGCATTTGCCAACGTGCTCACTGAACGGTTCAAAGGCTGGCTGGCCCATCAGTTCCTGGCCCGCCGCAGCATCCGCGACAACGCAGCCCGGCGGCGCCGCCAGCGAACCCTCTTCGTGGACTCGAGGGCGACGCCGTCGCGGCCCGGCACCCGCGACGCGGCGGCGTCCACCGAGCTCTGCGCCTCAGAGTCCGCCAGCAGCGTGAGGGAGCTGCTGGGCCCGGTGCCCTCGTCTAGGAAGATGAAGCCCGTGTCCTTCGGCGGCTTCGGCTTGGGCGCTGGGTTATGCGGGCGCCGGTTGCCCCGGCCCCCCTTCTCGCGGCAGGTGCGGCACTTCGTGCGTTTCATCGCTTCCGACAGCCGCATCCGGTTCTTCCGAGCACGGACAGCGCCATCTTGACTCCGGTGAGCACGTCGCTCTGGTCGTCGAGCGCTGGTTTCAGGAGCGGGCCGGGTGCAATGCTTTCTGCCCGTCTTCAGCTGCCCCTTGGATCTCGTTTATGCTTCCACGTATTCCTGCGCTGGGTCTGCACCTCTTATCAACGCCTCTGGAACTTCTGTGCTTCGCCGTTCGTGCACATGCTTGAGACGTCATCGTGGTCTAGCAGGCCTGGACCCTCGTCCTTCTCGGTGGCGAAGGTCCCAGCAGGCTCCAGATCCGTGGTCAACGTGCGAACCTTGCTGGTACTCAGAGTCTGCTTCTTTGAAATGCCCAGCCCGCGCAAGGCCTGGAGCGTGGATGAGTAGCCTTCTTCGATGAACATCCTTTTCCAATCATCTGGAACGCCCATGCCTTGGATTTCCAAGCGATCGAACTGCATATCGAGTCTAGCAGTGAACTCTGTCAACGATTCGTTTGCCCTTCTCTGGAGCTGCAGCAGGCACTCTCTGGCTGTCTTTCCCTTTTCGTCACCGCTTCTCCCGCCGGACATCACGTCGAGACGCTCCAACATGGCTGACGTTCCACGTCTATTACACATATCACCCAGCGTTGACTCCGAATAGATAGGAGGACAGGAGGCGGAATGGGAGGAGGGCGAAGGGATGACGAGAGCAGGACGGGAGGAGCAAAATCAAGCAAGCGCAAGCAAGCAAGCGGAAGCAAGCAAGCGCAAGCGAGCAATAACAAGCAAGCAAGAGCCAGCCATCAAGTGCATGCAATCAAGGGCAAACGAGTGCATGCGACTCATCGGAATCCATAGGAGACCATCGGACTCGCAGTCCTGGCGATGCTGAAGGCGGCGGCGATGATGCAAATAGGTGGAGGAGCGCTCAGGGGTGGTGCATCGGCATATGCATAGGCATAGGCGTAAGAGCGCCCAGAGGTGGTGCATAGGCATAGGCATAGGCATAGGCATAGGTGTAGGCAGAGGAGTTATGGGGGGAGGCATAAGCATAGGCATAGCCATAAGCATTAGGGGGGCGGCATAGGATTTCGGGGGGCAACGGACCAACTAGTAGGGTTTGCGTTGGAACTCCTACAAGGCAAACCTATTTGGAGAAAAACTTCGTCTGTGAGATGTTCCAGCCTCCGATGGGGATCCACGCCTAGAGATTTCATCACTGTGTGTGCTTGTTTTGGCACTGCTACGCCCGCTTGCTGTTCCCAGCGAGTAATCGTGTGACGGCATAGTTTGAAATCTGGCCAACCCATCCACGGTTCAGGATCCGAGTAGTCACCTTTTTCTGACCTCCACGAGGTTGGGGACCACTCAGACCACTGCCCTTTACAATTCCCGCTGGACCTCCTCCGAAAGGACCCTGCATCATCATCCTAGATATTCTTCCAGCTCTGTTCCTTCCACACGTCGCTCTCGTCCGTGCCCCGTGAGTATGAGCTCGGGTCTTTGTGCCACTGGTAACTGGTCTTCGCAGCCATACTCCCCATAGGCAGGTTTCCATTGCTGCTGCCTCTCGCCCCAGTCTGCGTGCTGTGGCTCCCTGGAGGCGGTCCAATGCTCTACTGGCCTGAGAAGTGGCTCACTAGGTTCGCGTGACTGCTGATCGTGACCTGTCTCAGCAGGAATTGCTACGTGCGAACTGGCACCTTTAGCATCCCGCACTTCTTCCCTCACTACTTCACGTCGAAGGGTGTCAGCTCCTGGTGCAGTTTTGGTCCCATCATCTTTGCCGTCGACGTCTATCTGAGGATCAAGCGGTTGCACAGTGGCACAGGCTGATGAGCTCCCCGTACCAGGCATGGCTCAAGTAGCTCCGCTACCACTGTCTGACGAATCCCTTCTCAGACGTGTTCCATCGACGGAGGCGATCGATCCAAGTGATATCTTTCAGTACCACTGCAGAAACAACAGCTGCTACAGGGAAATAAATGCAACATTACAGCGGAAAATGACTCTCTTGAACCTCATTGGTCACACCAATGTTATGCAATGGTGATGGTGATGGTGATGGTGATTGTGATAGTGATGGTGATGGCGATCCCACGAAGAGCTGGGCTGGGTTAGAATCAAGCACTAACTCCGAGCTAAAAATCGCTCAGCGACGAGGGGGACCGAACGAGGGCCCGAAAGGCGAGGAAGCGAGGGCCAGAGAGCAGCACGAGCGGAAGGGACCAGCGGGATGCAAACGGGGCCGCGGAACCCTGCAGGGACACTGGAGCTACCAAGCTGGCCCCAGCTCCGCGCCCGCCCCCTAGAGACATGGGCTGTTTGGGCGTTGCTCACTTCGAGAAGGGGATCGACTACAGCACTAATTTCGTCGAAATTGCGCAAACATGCCCCGTGGATCCACGTAACATTCTACGCACTTGATTGTAGATTTGACGGGGAAAAAGTAAGTTTGTGGTAAATGAACGATGTAGTCGACCCCCTACTCGATTACTGGGGGACGACAAGTTCGATAATGCTCAGAACGTGTTAGCGCCCACGTGTGCTCGTCCACTGAAGCCCCTCGCCGCGGCGCAGGCGCTGCAATGAGGGCCGAAACGGGCGGCGTGCTACGGGCGGCGTGCCATCGGCAGCGCCGGGCGGGGAAAACACACACACAACACAACACACGTTGGGCTACGTAGCACACGTTCTGAAGATCATCGACAGATGGGGAGCAAGGAAGCGTGCACCTTTCGCGACCCCTATGGGCCCCATGGGGCCCTTCAGGGCCGCCAGGCCCCATTGCGCAACGCCCAAGCTGCCTGCACTTCTTCCACACCGAGCGTTTCCGCCCAGGTGCGGGGCCCTGGGACAGTCACAGGTCGGCCTGGCTCGAAAAAGATGCCGCACAGAGACGTGACGCCTGGGGCTCCGGACGTGAGCTGTCGCGATGTTGCATGTTTTACTTGCACCGTCGGATCGGACCGGTGATCATGGGACCATGATCGGTGCTCATGCCTTACTCGCCAGGCCCCGGATGGACCAGGGCCAGTGCACCCTCAGATCTGGGCGTTGCCATTCTTTCACAACATGCGTTTCCGCCCAGCTTCGGGCGCCGGGACCCTCACAAACGATCCGGCTCGACAAATGACGCCGACCGATGGCGTCTGGAGCTCTAGAGATAATTGTTTGCGATGTTGAATCGTTTTTGCGCAACATCAGATCCGAGGGCAGGTGTGCGCAGTTGGCTACCTCCGAGATGCGGCGTAGTGCGCGCCGACAATCCCAAGCACCAGGCCCCAGCCCCATCGCCGCGAGATGTAGACCACGAGCGGACTCGCGCAGATGCCCGCCAGCTTGGCGAATACGTTCCCGACCGCGAAGAGCTCGCTCGCGCGCGCGCGGGCGACGTCGTGGAGGGCGACGGTGAGCCCAGAGGTCTGAAACCTTCTGCGACAGCTCATGGGAGCCTCCCATACAATCTCGCTGGCTCGTGCGAATCGACTCTAATCAACGCTAATCGACGCAGATCGACGCAACATCGACGCCAACCCACGCGAATCGACGCTAAATCGGCGCTATCCCATCGACTACTAGACACTGGCCGACGCTCTTGCACTCTAAAGACGGAACTGCGAAGGTGTAGGGCTCCTATGATTTGCTACCGAGTGGAACCCGTGGGAGGCGAACCACAGCGCCAAGAAGGCGGCGGCCTTCCTGGAAGGGCGCCCAATATACGCCTGCACCGACCCTGGCCAGGTGCATCCTGGGCCAATGGAGGAAGGAAAAAACAGCATAAACATAAACTAGCGGAAGTCCGCGCGGATTTCTTGGATCTGCGCTAGACCCCCCTCCCTGGCTCGCGGAGCGCGCCAAATGCTCGGCGAAGTGCGGCGCCAGAGGCGCCGCCTGGGGGGCCCAACAGCGCAGATCCAAGAAATCCGCGCTGACCTCAGAAAGTTTATGTCTGTGATGTCTTCCTTCTCCAATATACGCCCTCCTGGCTTGGGCAGGAGAGCGTGTACACCGATCCTGGGACCAAGATTGGGCTGGCAAGGATCGCTGTCTGTGTATAGTTGGCGCCCTCCGACGTCCTCTTGCACGTGCACAGGCAGAGGCCCAGCAAGCTGGCGGCGGGCACCGCGGTGCCGATGAGCTGCATGAGCATCCGGCAGCGGTGGGTCGGCCAGTGTCTGTCCATCAAAAAGTCGGAGGCGATGCTCAGATGCTCGTTCTGGGGGCCTGCCTGGGGCCACTCGCTCCACTCGATGCGTCGATGCTGCGTCGAACGTCCGTCGAACTCAAGGTCGAGATTAAGTCGAGCTAGTCGGACTGGAATCGGACTGGAGCTGAGCCGTTCCCTTAGGTGGGCCCAGGAAGGTCCCCCAAAACGAGCATCTAACGATGCCGCTGAGGACGCAGCACAGCGCGTTGCCCAGGGGCGCTGCCATCGTCAGCCACCCGAGCTCCACGACACTGGCCTCGAATGCCTCGACGAAGAGGGTGGGCACGAAGGTGAAGAGGAAGGCGTTCGCGACCCCGAACGCCCACATCCCAAAGACCAGCGCGGCGATTGCCGAGGAGGAAACAACTGCATGAACATAAACATTCGGAGGTCCGCGCGGATTTCTTAGATCAACGCTGGCGCGCGGAGCGCGCCCAGAGCACCGACGGAGGCGCCGCCAGGAGAGCCTGGCGCCGATACAAGCGACCCGCGCGGACCTCCGAGGATGTATGTCTGTGACGTTGTGTCTTCCTCGGGATCAGCGGGTCCTTGGTTGCGTGATAATCGAGGCCTGACCAAAACACGTGACTGCCCGTGTTGGACATACATTAGCAACTCTCTATCGTTAAAGGGTTAATTATGAACCGCATATACATCGCAGAGCGGGGGGGGGCTGGGAAGGGGCATGCCACTCCTTGCCGAAAACCTTGCCCCAGTTTCTGGCCGCCGCGATCGCCGCGGCGACCTCCCAAAACTGACCAGGAGGTTTGGCTCGGGGTGGATATCACGCAACGAGTCCTGGGCCTGACTCGACGCTCAATCGACGCTAACCGAACCTGCTCGACGCTAAATGGGCGCGGCCTCCTCGCCTACAGGGCGCTATCGCACGCGAGCACGCTCGAAAGACGGAACTACGAGGGCATGCAAGGCTTCCATGAGCTGTAACCACAAGGGCTCCCAACTTCGCGCTTCGCGCTGCGCGAAGCGCGAAATGCGAATAACTTCGCGCTCTCAGGCCGCCTCGCAGGGGAGAAGAGGAGGATGAGGAGGAATCGGAGCCGAACCGCGAAGCGCGAATAACTTCGCGCCCTCGAGGGCGCCCTTGTACCAAGCCGTCGTCTTCCTCGGGATCCGCGGGTCCTGGACCCAGATCGCCGCCTCCCGCAGCATGTCGCGCATCCCGCTGGCGCCGCCCCGCTGGCCGGGCACGTGCCCGCATGGCAGGCGCAGCAGGGAGAGCGCCGATGTCAGCAGGCCGGCGGCAGCGAAGAGGGCGTAGGGCGCCACGTGCTGGAGGCTCGGAAGTGAGCACCAACATGAGCCCAGAGATCCGAGGCTCCGAACAACTCTGGATCGGCCAATTTGGGGCTATTTTTCAGGCCCGGGGACCGTGAAATAATTTGAGCACTGGATGTCTGGGAACACCAACACAGATGGGTGCCTCCACCAGGGGAAGATGATCCTAAATTCTGGTGTTGGTGATAATCTTTCGGCCATCTAGGAAGCCCAAATGCTACAACCATCACCGAAATCGGCATCATCTTCCCTCGGTGGAGGCACACCACCGATATTGGTTTTGGTGTCAAAGACTCAGCCTCCGAATGTGCCCGATGGCCTCGGCGGCCTGCGGCGAGCCGAAGTTACTCGCCATGGTTGGAGGGGGAAAAAATCGCATAGACATAGACTTTCGGCGGTCCGCGTGGATTTCTTAGATCGGCGATAGAGAACCGAGGTCGCCTGCATCGTGCCCCTGGATTCGCGACGCGCGGTTATCTTCGCACCCTCGCGCCCCCGCGCCACCCCCTTGGAGAAGTGTCGTCGCTCTGGCCCAGGCCGCGACGAAGCGCGATCATATCTTCGCGCCCCTGGCTCGAGAACGCCCCTGGCGGTGCCTGCGGCGCCGCCCCCTGGCGCGCTCCGCGCGGTTTGGGAAATCCGCGCGGAACTCCAAATGTTTATGCTCGTGCCGTTTGTTCCTTCCTCGAATGGTCCCCAGGGCCGCCGCGCCGGAGACCAGGGTCACGGCCGTGGTGCGGGTGGCCGCCGGGACGGTCGAGGCGAGCACGGCGTGCGCCGCGGGGTAGCCCAGGCCGCAGAAAAAGCCGAGGGCGAACTGGGCGGGCACGAGGACCAGCAGGGGGTCCGGCAGCGCCAGCGGCATGCTCGAGGAACAGAGCACGGCGAAATAATAAACTTTCGGAGGCCTGCGCGGGTTCCTTGGATCGGCGCTGGACCCCCCTCCCTGGCGCGCGGAGCGCGCCAGGGGCGGCGCCACAGGCACCGCCAGGGAGGTTCTCTTGCGCCGATCCGAGAGGTCCGCGCAGGCCCTCGAAAGTTTACGCATGTGCCGCTGTTTCTCGGGAGGACGTACAAGGGGGGTAAGGACAGAGGGGGGTCAGAGGAAAGTCGCTCTCACTGGACCCTGGGAAGAAGAACTGCGAGCATCCCGCTGGGTTCGATCTCTAACCCCGCCTGAGCAACGCAAAAAGAGACGGCTCTTACGCGAGATGACATAGCGACCTTACGCGGCGGCTTACGCGGGTCGCCAACGCGGCACGCCACATTGGAGACGAGGGCGCTAATGCGCGACCTTACGCGGGCAGCTTACGCGCCAATGTCGGTGAAGACGGCCCCGTTGTCGTCCGTCGCCCCCCTTGGGATAGCCCCCCGATGGCCCCCCTTGGTCGACCCCTTCTACGAACCCCCGAGTCTCTCTTCCTCGACATACCCAGCGCCAGCAGCGCCCAGCCGGCAGTGCCCGCGACCAGCAGCGCCCCGCCGGAGAATCTCTGCACCAGCGCCTTCGCCACCAGCTGCGCCACGAGGTCGCCCGCGAAAAACGCGCCCGCCGTGGCGCCCACGAGCGCGGCGGCGTCGCAGCGGGCTCCCACGCAGACGATGTGGGCCAGCATGGGCGTCAGAGCGCGCGCGCCATAGTTGCCTCGGGGTGGTTTAGGCCGCGCTCAAGAAATTATTTTAATTAGTCGGCGATGCGCTGGATGATCTGGTGAGGGCGGGAGAAGAAATGCCGACCGATGCCCTAACCTTTCCGCTTTGGGCAGCCCCACGTATGCCCGCGGGAACCAATACTGCGTGCCCCCTGCGGACCTGCGCAACCGACACGGTCAGGTCATCCGGGGGGAAGCGCGGGGTCGGACGGGGCCGATAACCTGGCCGACAACCTGGGTGATCGCCAGACTCTCAAAATGATAGCCAGAGTCCAGCATCCCCAAACAGCGTTCTCTAGCCAAGGTGGTTCTTAAGAGTCTTCGCGCGTTCTCCTGTTTCTGATCCGCCTGCGCCTTCGGCGTGTCGAGCTTTCCGTGATCGTCGTCGTCGTCCTCCTCCTCCTCCTCCTCCTCCTCCTCCTCCTCCTCCCCCACATCCACGTAATTCTCCTTCTCGCCCTCGCCCTCCCCGTTCCACTACACCTCCTCATCTTCCTCATCCCCCTTCTCTCTTCCTCCCAGTCCTCCTCCTCCTCCTCCTCCTCCTCCTCCGACTCGTCATCCTCCTCGTCATCCTCTTGATCCTGATCCTCCTGGTCCTCCTCCACCTCGTCTTCCTCTTCCTCCTCCTCCTCCTCCTCCTCCTCCTTCTGCTTCTCCTCGTCATCATCCTCATACTCCTGCTCCTCCTGCTCCTGCTCCTGCTCCTGCCCCTGCTCCTCGTCCTGCTCCTGCTCCTGCTCCTGCTCCTCCTCCCCCTCCTCCTGTTCTCGTATCTCCTCATATCACTCCTCCTCGTCCCCCTCCTCATACGAGATCCTCAACATGTTCCTGGTGCTATTCCTCCTCGTCGTTTTCTTCCTCATCGCTCCTGCTTGTACTCCTTGTGTTCCTCCTCGTGCTCCTCGTCCTCCTCATTGCCTTTCTCCTCCTGCTGCTCCTCCTGCTCGCCGCGATCCTCCCTGTATTCCACATACTCCTCCTCGTGTTACTCGTCCTCCTCCTCCTCTTCGCAATGCTCCTCCTCCTCCACCTCCTCCTCCTCCACCTCCTCCTCCTCATCCTCCTCCTCCCCTCTCCTCGCAATCCTCCTCCTGATCGCAATCCTCCTCCTCCTCGTCCTCATCGTCGTCCTCCTCCTCCTGCTCCTCCTCCTTCTCCTCCTCCTCCTACTCATCCTCGTCCTCCCCCTCGTCCTCCTCCTCGTCCTCGTCCTCCTCCTCCTCCTCTTCCTCCTCCTCCTTCTTCCGCCCTCCGCCTGCTCCTCCTGCTCCTCCTCGTCGTCCTCCTCCATCTCCTGCTCCTGCTCCTGCCCCTCCTCCTCCTCCTCCTCCTCCTCCTCCTCCTCCTCCTCCTCCTCTTTTTGCCAACATTATTATGGCCATGCTTGGTAGTACCAATATTACAAATATGAGGAATATCATTAGTATCCTTATGCGCAAAGTTAGTATGTGTCGTATTCGCCGTAATATCCAATTTTGCATTATCATCATTAATGGCATTAGCATTCGTATTCGTACTAGCCTCCGTATTGCTAATATGACTTAATGTTATGATTATCGCGCGTATCTATATCATTGTGGATGTTACTCGTAGCATCAATCATAGCAGTGTTTGCGTTCGTACGCTCAGCCGTATTCGCACTCTTCTTACCATTGATATGGATATGGTGGTTGGTCGTAGCATTAATATTCGTTGTCGCCCTTGTCTTATTCGTATTACCGTTCGTCCTGTTATCAACAGTCGTGCTTCTAATATGCGTATTCATGGTATTCGCACCATGTGTCTTAACCTGCTTCGTCGCCTTGTTTTGAATCGTACTCGCATGATTCATAGTATTCTTCTTATTCGTCGTATGATTAGTCGCGCGCTGGTTGTTCCCAACCATCTTGTGGTGTTGGGTCCCCGCTTTGAACAGACGGCGCCCCGCGTTCTTCTCCTCTTCCTCCTCCCTCTCCTCCTCCCGCCTCATTCCTCTTCCCCCTCCGTCCTCCCCCTCCTTGCCTTCCTCCCTGCGCTTCACCCACCCAGTACAGCGTTTGGTGGCCCCATAAGGAGCTCCACCGAGGGCCACAATGGCACCGCCCGCATGCGTCAACCCCCACCCAATACAGCGCTTCGTGGCCCCATAGGGAGCGTCACCGAAGGCCCCAGCGGCACCGCCCGCATGCGTCATGCCCAACCCAATACATCGTTTCGTGGCTCCACTGGGAGCTTCACCGAAGGCCCTGGCGGCACCGCCCGCATACGTCACCCCCACTGAGTACAGCGTTTCGTGGCCCCATAAGGAACCCCACCGAAGGCCTCACTGGCACCGCCCGTATGCGTCACCCCCACACACTACAGCGCTTCGTGGCCCCATAGGGAGCTCCACCGAAGGCCAAAGTGGCACCGCCCGCATGCGCCACCCCCCTCCCAATACAGCGCTTGGTGGCCACATAGGGAGCTTCACCGAAGGCCCCAGTGACAACGCCCGCGTGCGTCACTCCCACCCAGTGCAGCGCTTCGTGGCTCCATAGGGAGCTCCACCGAAGGCCCCAGCGGCACCGCCCGCATGCGCCACCCCCACCCAGTGCAGCGCTTCGTGGCTCAGTTTGAAGGTGGTCGGGAGGCCCAACCAGACGCTTCGCCTAAGGCGAAGACCATATCCATCTCTGTTATACCGTAGTAACGATAGTCCCAAGAGCAGGGGAGAGTCGCGGGAGCGACGAACCATGCCAAGCGAAGATGTATCCGGTCTCAATGGCAAATAGCGCGCCTCGCGACGAGGCGCAGTCACATCTTGGCAGCTGGCCGCTTGAGCACAAACGGCCGCGGACAAACAATCGCCACCTCTCGCCTTTGCCAAGCCTCCTTTAGAATCGGGGGGGCGAAGCGTGAGTCCGCTGCCAGCTATACGGCAAAAAGCACTATAATACACAAGATAGGCAGCAGCAGGCGGGCTCAACATAGGCAGGTTGGCCCGCGTGCAAGTTACCTAGCAGGCAAGTTACCTCGCAGGCAAGTTACCCTGCTGATAACAACTCCCAAGGTGGCTCAGATGATCTCATCTGGCCAGGCCTGTATGGAGTGTGTCGTATTAGGTTGTGCTCGAAGGATTGCGCTCCTCCCATAACTTGTAGGAGCACGTATCTGTCGATGTCGTGGCCATTCGCGGTCAGATCGTTGGCGTCGCGCCACTGCGCGCATTGCACGACACCTCGCTCCATCACTTGTCGCGCCCAACTGATGCGTCCCAAAAGTGCACGCTCAGTCGGATGTTCCAAGTCTTTGCTTGACGAGGACTTGAAGACGGATTCTGCGTCGATGGTCAAGGTGACCTGAATGCTCAGGCCGCCCATCTCAAGTATATCCTTCAATTGAGTGGGCGTCGGCGGCCCTGCGTGGGGTTCGTGCAGAATGACGATCGCGGGGTGGCAGCCCTCCAAGTTGCGGGCTGCTGCAAGTGTTCCCGCTGAGTAGCTCGAACAGACCTGCAAGCGATGAGACTCGCAGCGCGCGTCGACAAGGCGGGCGACGGGCACGACAGCGCGCGCGTCCGCGCCTTAGCAGGTTTGCCCTGCGAGTGCCATAACCATCGGCCTCGTCGTCGGCATCTCCGTTCAGAGGCATGTAGCCGGAGTCGCCGTGCAGGTCGCCCTCGCCCGTTGGTGCCATCGCTTGATGGGCGACCTTCTTAAGGCGGGCCTGCGACTTCCTGGCAATCGCTTGCAGCCGTCGCACTTGCACGTTGGTCGGTTCTTGGACGCGCTGGAGCGATGCAACCGACGCCACTAGCGACACTTGCGCGATAGGGGCGTAAGCCGTAAGCGCGCCTCTGAAGCTGACAAACACGTCAGCAACCATCTTCGGCGCCTTGGCCTTAGCATCTGCACTCGTGAGTTCATGGTGCTGGATAGGGCGGAGCTGTTTTATCTTGGTCAAGAATAACAATGCCGTCGCTGTCCTTCGCCTATCTCGAGGCGCAGTCGGCGCGCGTCTGTTTGTTGAATTATGCATTTCCCAAACCCTAGATTCTTAATCTTACAGAATTAAACCCTGAACACGGAAAAAATGGCACATACGGTAACATACGCTAACATGCGACCCGGCCATGTAAACCCTCGCCAGCCTATGCAACACATACTATGTCCTGGTCATGCGTGCTGTAAACCCTCGCAATCCCTCGCAACAGATACGAATTTCTGATCATGCGCGCTGTAAACCATCGCCCCCCCCCCCCACACACACACACACACACACAAAAAAACTGACGTCCATACACCCATGAGACTTTCCTCAACAAGGAAATACACTTTTAGGTCACCCAGAAATCCTTTATGGTAGGGTGGTCTGCGGGTGGGACTGGCAGCCACCGCAGGTAGGCTCCCAGGCAGGAGGTGATCAGCTGCGACAGAACTGTAGACCCGAAATGCTTAATCTTATGGTTACTAAACCCTGACCTCTGAGGTTCCACGCGCCCCGATGTCACCCAACTTCCTGAGACCTGCCATCATATTATTTCCTGGCAGCCCCCGGATGTAAACCCTCGCCATCCCTTTCAAAAAAAACGATTTCCTGACACCCCCCGGACGTAAACCCTCGCCAACCCTTGCAACAAATACTATGTCCTGATCATGCGTGCATAAACCACTGCGTTTCACAATGCAAATGCGCGTCCGCGGACGTAAACGTTCGCCATCCCTTGCAAAACTATTATTTCCGGCTCGTGCGTTCATGCACCTCTGAAACTTTCCTTGCCAAGTGCGCCGACGTCGCAGAATCCTGTGTTTTACCATATGACTTCCATGATGTTTCAAGCGCTCACAACGCTTCCAGGCGCTCCCATGCGCTCCAGGCGCCCCCAAGCGCTCCCAGGCGCTCCCAAGCGCTCCCAAGCGCTTCCAGGGCGGCCCAGGCGCTCCCAAGCGCGCCCAGCGCTCCCAGACGCTCCCATGCGCTCCCAAACGCTCCCATTCGTTGTACTTACAACGAGGGGAGAGATGATCTTTGT